CTTTGGGGCTTGATCTTGAATTGGTGGATGGTTGATCCAAGGGCCGTCGGGGCTTGATCTTGAATTGGTGGATGATTGTTGATCCAAATGGCCGTTGGGGCTTGATCTTGGAAGAACAATGAACGAAGAATGAAGAACACTTTCTTCAAGGGCCGTCGGGGCTTGATCTTGAATTGGTGGATGATTGTTGATCCAAAGGGCCGTTGGGGCTTGATCTTGGAAGAACGATGAACGAAGAACGAAGAACGCTTTCTTGATTCTTCGGGAACCTGGATGCTTGAGAGTTTCGGAGTTTCAGAGCTTCAGAGCTTCAAGAATTTTGCCTAATGATTTTGGTTCTCCCTTCAAATGAATGAAATGGGCTTGTATTTATAGAATTTTCCAAGGCCTAATTTTGAATATAATATTCCAGATGAAATAAGTCGTTTCTGCCAGGTGTTGACACGTGTCCTATTTGATGACTTTTCCAACTCATTTCAATTTTCGTTGAGTCACACGCTACGTGTAAAATTTATGTAATACATGAGCGTTGAAACTTTGATTTATCGGTCAACATTTATTTACCGAAATTTCGATGTCTACAAATGCCCCCACTTCAAGGCACGTCGTATACATGTGCTTGTCACGTGTAGGAGATGCGTTTTGAAGTCCCTTATTGTAGATGTCGATCCAAGGGCCATCGAGGCTTGATCTTGAATTGGGCTGGAGATTTCTTCAAGTGCCATTGAGGCTTGATCTTGAATTGGTCTTGAGATTTTTTCAAGGGCCGTCGAGGCTTGATCTTGAAGGTTAAAATTGGACCACAAGGAGTTTCATGTGGTAGATGATCTTTAGCTTTGGTAGTGGATGAATCGGCACGTATTTTGTTGCGCTTGTTGTCTTTCCACAGCTTTGATCTTGAACTGGGTTGGAGGATTTTCTGGATTCCTCCAATTGTTGATTTTCCACAGCTTATTCTTGAACTAGGTTTTGATTCAAGAGTGGTAGACACTTGATCTTGAATCGGACTTGTGATTTCCTCAAGGGCCGTCGAGGCTTGATCTTGAATTTGGCTGGAAGCTTCTTCAAGGGCTGTTGAGGCTTGATTCTTGAAGGTTGACTCGAACACATGGCAAGCAGGCACGAGGTGAAGGTGACGACTTGTTGCTTTGTTCAATCTTTCTAATTCACACCTGAGCAGTTTGGTCAACTGTATGATCTTCAAGATTGATGGGCTCTTCTTCCAGTTGGTGACTTAATCTTTAAGGTTTTGATTCAATGGTGGTGAATCGGCACGTGCAGCTCACAACGCCTAGTAAGCCGACCCAAGAATTTGAGGGTCAAAACGAATTCATCGTCCAGAATGATTGCAACCCTGATGATATGAGATACTTTTGATTTTGAAGAAGTAGCGGATGACTCAGCACGTGCTTTGTTGCACTTGTCTCCACATGCTTCAAGGTATCATTTTCATTTCCTTTATCTGTTCCTCAGGCAGATGTGGCATCTTATCGAGTTCCTCATCTCAGACTCCTTCTGCTGAGTTGACTATGCATGCTGCATTCTTCTCTGCTTGTTTCTTCTGCACGTTGTCTCCACGTGCTGCAAGGTATCATTTTCACTTGCCTTATTTGTTCTTCAGGCAGATGTGGCAGCTTCTTTGGAAGTACAGCAGCAGTGGGAGACGAGTACTCGAGAGCAGTGCTAGGTAGGCAATCAGGGAAGGGTTCCTAGCAGTCGGTTCCTTACCCGAGTTTGAGTGGAAGTTCCGGCATATTGTTTTCTTTATCCTTGTCTTTGTAGGTAGGAACAAGGACAAAGGAAAGGACAGGGAGAACGCATGATATGAGATACTCTTGCTTTCTACCCTGATGATATGAGATACTTTTGCTTTGGTGTCATTTGTTTGCAGAGGTACCCCAAGGAATAAGAAACACTGAGTGACTCGAGAGGCTTCGTTGGGAAGGCATTCTCGGAGATGAAGAAAGGTTCTGTATGTCTGCCTTGCTATGAAGGGTGAAGGTGGACAGTTATAGGAATTTCTTTAGTACCTGTAGAGGTACTATTCTTTTACTCGTGTCGGCAACCAATGTGTGATCGATCAGTATGGCTTCACGTGCTTTCTTCTTTATCAGAAATCTTCGACAAATTGTCCGTAATTTTCGTCAAGCTGAGTGTGCATGTGATAGGTGTTGACGAGGCTGAAAAAGACTGGCGCCTCTTCGATATCTGGGATCGGTGCTTCGACAAATTGCCCGTGATTTCCGCAAAGCTGAGTTTGCGCGTGACGGGTGCTGACGAGGCTGAAAAAGACTGGCGCCTCTTTGATATCTGGGATTGGCGCTTTAACAAATTGCCCGTGATTTCTGCAAAGCTGAGTTTGCGTGTGACGGGTGCTAACGCGTCTGGAAAAGCAAGATGCTTCTCCGATTTCTGAGCTTGCCTCTTCGATTTTTGAATTGGCATTTTCGAACTCTGAGCTCACCTCTTCGGTCTCTGAAATTCCTTCGAGTGCTGATTTTTTATAGAGGCACGCAGTTCGTTTCAAAGCACACTTGAATTTTAGCTTGTATAAACTCCCTTCTTGCACTTCTAAGATCTTGATTTGTCCGACCTCTTCTTTCTTCAACACCTTTGAAAATGTCTGGACCCTCCGACCGTCGTTTTGATTTGAACCTTGGTGAAGAGGTAGTCCCGTCTTCTCCAGATAACGTATGGCGCCCATCCTTCATATCCCCTACTGGTCCTCTTACTGTTGAGGATTCAGTGATGAAGAATGATATGACCGCTGCGGTGGTGGCCTGGAACCTTGTCACTCCCAAAGATAACAGACTACTTTCCAGGCGGTCTGATGAGTTGGCTGTTAAGGAGTCTCTGGCTCTTAGTGTGCAGTGTGCGGGTTCTGTGTCCAACATGGCCCAACGCCTATTTGCTTGAACCCGTCAAGTTGAATCGTTGGCGGCTGAAGTGATGAGTCTCAAACAGGAGATTAGAGGGCTCAAGCATGAGAATAAACAGTTGCACAAGCTCGCACACAACTATGCCATAAACATGAAGAGGAAAATTGACCAGATGCAGGAATCTGATGATCAGATTTTACTTGATCATCGGAGGTTTGTGGGTTTGTTCCAACAACATTTGCCTTCGTCTTCTGGGGCTGTACCGCGTAATGAAGCTCCAAATGATCAACCTTTGGTGCCTCCTCTTCCTGGAGTTCCGCCGAGTGGTGTGGCTTCAAACAGTCAACCTCTGGCGCCTCTCATTTCTGGAGCTCTGCCGAGTGGTGAGGCGGCACCTGATCGTCCTTGAAGATCCCCTCTTGTAAATTTGATTTGATTTTTTTTTTAAGTATGTATAATGCAAATTTATGTAAAATTTCCAGAAAAAATAAAAAACGGACTTTATTTCTCTCAATGCATTTTTTTTTTTTTTGCTGTAAACATACATATATTATGCACACACACATACATACATACATATTAATTTTTTCACATGGACTAATCCACCATTCCAAAACCTTTTCCCTTTTTTTTTTTTTTTTCACGTGGTGCCAGATGCACCCACCACTTCTTTTTTTCTTTTGTCACATGGTGCCAGATGCACCATCATCATATATTTTTATTTATTTTTTAATTTAATTAATTAATTTATTTTATATGCTTTTCAGATTGGCTTTAAAACAATCAAAACACGGTGAGTGGAGCACCCAAAACCTTTACAATTATATATATATATATATATATATATATATATCTTTTCCTTTGCACATGGTGCCTGATGCACCCCCCCTTTTTTTTTCCACGTAGTGCCAGCACCACTTTGCTCCACCATCCCCCTTTTTTTTTTGTTTTTTTTAATATATTTTTTCTGTATAAATTTGGGTGGTGGGTAGAGGAATTTGCAGGGAGCGGAGCTCGAGTTTGAGGAAGGGCTTCTCGGCCGGCTAGTCGTTTGAGAGCGGTCTTTGAAGTTGTTGGCAACTGCGAGGCAAGAGACGGATGAGAAGGAAGAAGGATGAGCACGGAGGAGGAGGAAGAAGGAGGGGTGGGTGCCGAGAGGGAAGATCCTCGACTACCAGCTTCAAAACGCCGGTGTTGACCCATCTTCCGTCCATGTACTCGACATCTCCGACGCCTGCCTTGATCCTCGCTCCTTGCCGTGCGTTTTCTCGGCTCCGCAACCTCGTCGGTGATGACGCTGCACCCATCTTCGTGAGCAGGCGGCAGAACGGCGGTGGAGATCCTGAGGTTGAAACTGAAGTTTGAAGATGGTGATGGTGAGGAGGAGGTCCGATCTGCCATTGATTCTCTCGCGGTGGTTCCACGCTTCGTCGTCTAGGGACCACGACCGCTACCTGTAGAGCAAAAAAGGTGACGTTGAGGAGCTTGGTGGAGATCCTGGCGTCACGTTGCTTGGGGCGCGTTTCCTGCGACGACGGCGTCCTCGCACTCGGCGCTGCTGAGCCGGGTCTTCCCAAGAGATCTGTCGCTGTCGCTGGCTCTTATGGTGGACAGGCGATGTGGCGGGTGGTCTTGATTTGGATTCGACTTGCTGCAACTTGAGAGAGGAAAGAAAGCCGGAGCGGACGCCGAGGGAGACGATGGTTTGGGATATTAATGGCGCCGGCAGAGGATTGGAGGAGCATGACGGGCTCCTTTTGGATCTCATGTTGGAGAGCGTTGGGTCGACCAGACCCGAGACCAGCAGTGGCGGAATCTCTTCAGGGCTGCTTGTCGTCATCTGCGAGACCTCACCGGGGCCAGCTTCTGCTTGGGGACGATCCTGCAGTGATGAAGGTGGACTTGGTAAGGCGGAGTGCCAAGACCGGCTAGTTGTTTTGACAGCAGTCAGGCGGATGATGCAGAGTTGAGATGCCTGAGCAGGTTCGAAAGCAACGGAGCTTCAGCAACGGAGGGCACGGCCATGAAGTTTGGATGAAGAACATGACGATGGCCGCTGTAGAAGACGAGCATGGATTGTGAAATATCTGATTTTGTCGGTTCTGCAGCAGCAGATGCACCTCAGTCGATCCTTCCGGCGTGTATGCAAAAATGATCAAATGCCAGCTTGAAATCCGGGATATATGGCTTGACGTTAGACTTGAACAGCTTCTTAACCACAAGTGATGAAAAGAAAAGAAGCTGCTCGCTTATAGGAAGCACAATAGGTCCCAAAGTGGCAATGTTGGTCTTAAGCGCCCCACCGGCAATTGCCATCAAATCTTTCGACAAAGACACACCAGTATTCCCCTTGTCATCCTGCTCCTGATAAACACAACGGAAAACTTTATCATTCGCGCCACGATGGGTCCTCACAACATGAACAAGCTTGTACTTAGCCCGCCTCCTATCAACGGACTTATTGGAAAGCAAAACCGCGGAACCCCCAACACGAAACAAGCAATTGGGTATCAACATAGACTTCTTATTCCCAAAATACCAATTCTGAGTAATGTTCTCAGTACTAACAACAACAGCATAAGTGTTCCGATGGATTTGCAACAAGTCTTTGGCAAGATCAACAGCTATAACCCCAGCACTACAACCCATTCCCCCCAAGTTAAAACTCCTAATATTACCCCTCAATTTGTACTTATTAACAATCATGGCGGAAAGCGACGGCGTCGGATTAAACAAGCTGCAATTCACAACGAGAATCCCAATATCCTTTGGCTTCACATGGGTATTGGCAAATAGATTATCCAAAGCACCGTACATCACCTGCTCCGCCTCCTCCCTGGCGGCGGCCATCGACGGCCGGGGAGGGATGTAATGCATCACCTCCGGGACATAAGTCTCCTCGCCGAGGCCGGAGCGCTCGAGAATCTTACGCTGGAACTCGAGCGACGAGTCGTCGAAGTCCTGCGTGAGGCGGGAGTGCTCCATGAAGCGTTGGTACGGTGCCTTGAGGTGATCGGGCGGGCGGTAGCAGGCGTAATCGACCAAGTAGACGGGTCTGGGTCGGGTCATGATGTAGACCGTCAACCCGAAGACGAGGACGGCGGAGCAGATGATGACGGAGATGAGATTGTATTGAGATTAACGCTCTGGAGGAAATCGGGGAGCTGTCGGGTTTGGTGAATCCGGACCCCGACCTCACCGCCTCCGTCGAGCGCGGTGGCGACATTGATTGCTCCGCCTGGGTCCATGGCCGGTGGCGCCGCTTCCGGGGGTATGTGAGAAAGGTCGTCGCTCTCTGTGCTTTGGAGGGAAGCCTGGACGGAACGAGAACTTACAGGAAGTGGGAGGGAATTTGGGCTTGGAGGCTGTCACTTGGGCCTGGATAGCTTCCTTTTGAGAGGCTTGCTGCTAATGCATATACATACATATATATATATATATATATATATATATATATATATGTATGTATGTATATGTATGTAAAAGAAATCTTTTTTATTTTTTTTTTATTTTAATTTTTTTAATTAATTTTTTTTTTGTAAACAAGTAATAACATATGTATTCCTTTTTTTTTTCTTTTTCTTTTTAGATACATAAAACATATGTATTTTTTTTATTTTAATAAAACATTTATTCTTTTTATTTTTATGTGACTGAACTCGAAAAATTGAACATTCGAGCTGCCTACGTACTCCTCCAAAGAAGAGATCAAGTCGTAACGTAGTTCAAATACATACATATATTTTTTTTTTTTTTGGTATTTTCTTTTTTTGTGCCGTTTGTAGTTTTACCTCATGCAAGCAATGAGCTTTTGTTGTCGCCTTTTATGCTCGTGCGGACTAGGAGCGTTGGTGTTGCCTTTTATGCTCATGCAGACCAGGAGCGTTGTGCCATGCAGTTTAGGCTCGTGCAGGCAAGGAGCTTTGGTTCGTGCAGTTTAGGCTCGTGCGAACAAGGAGCTTAGTGCCATGCAGTTTAGGCTCATGCAGGCGAGGAGCCTCGTGTCCTACAGTTTAGGCTCGTGCGGACAAGGAGCTTTGGTTTGTGCAGTTTAGGCTCGTGCGAACAAGGAGCATTGTGAATTTGTTAAACGATCCTGGATAGGCTTTCCTTGCAATTTTCATAGCAAGGAATCTTGACCGAGTGATTGAAGAAGTCTTCAGGAAAGAAATCGTGCATCGTGATGGGGATGGACGGTCTATGTGTCGAAATTTCATCATCTTCAACACGTTCACGTTGCTTTGAAGGTTGACAAGAGCTGCTTTGTCCCCTTTCCGATTGGCAGACTTGTGGAGGAGATGTATGCTTCTTGTGCAATTTCTTAGGAGTGACTTGAGTCCATCCTTCAACTTTGCTTGTCTTGGAGGATGCCCCCAGCAGTTGAGGTGAAAACTTTGAGTCGGAAGAGCCAGAAGTGAAGGTGGTATAGTTTGACTTCACCACATCATCAAGATCTAGCTCGATGATTCCTTTCTGAGCCAGCTTCATGATGAGATCTTTCAGCACGAAACATTTTTCTGTCGGATGACTGATGAAGCGGTGGAATTTACAGTACCTTGGACTGTCAGTGCGATTAATCTCTTCTGGCCGTTTGCACTCAAGCAAACTAATCACCTTCTTTTCCAGCAAGTCTTCTAACATGGCAACCACATCAGAGTCGGGGAATGGATAAGTCCTCTCCTCAAGCTCCTTCAAAGTGCGTCTACGTATCTCTTGATCACGAAAAGCTTCGGTTTGAATCACCTTGCCTCGTGTAGGGATTTTGACGGGAGCTGTGTTGACCGTCATTGCTTCCTTGGTGGGTTTCCAGGTAGTCTTCTCCAACTTTGGCCCAAGAACTTTGTCGTTCTTGTAGTCGGCGATCGGTTCTTTCTTTCCATGATGGGCGATGGTCAACTCCATGTCATGGGCGCGAGTGGCCAATTCCTCGAAAGTCCGCGGTTTAATGCCTTGAAGGATGTATTGCAAACCCCATTGCATGCCTTGGATGCACATCTCGATTGAAGAGGTTTCCGAGAGCCTGTCTTACAGTCGAGGCTTAGAGTGCGCCATCTGTTGATGTAGTCAATGACTGGCTCGTCCTTCCACTGCTTTGTGCTCATTAGCTCTAGCATGCTCACAGTGTGACGGGTGTTGTAAAAGCGGTTGAGGAATTCCCGCTCTAATTGCTCCCAGCTGTTAATGGACTCAGGCTCTAGGTCTGTGTACCACTCAAAGGCGTTTCCTTTCAGCGAGCGCACAAACTGCTTGGCGAGGTAATCCCCTTCGGTCCCTACGTTGTTGCAAGTTTCAACAAAGTGGGCAACGTGATGTTTCGGGTTTCCCTTTCCATCGAATTGCATGAACTTTGGCGGTTGATAACCCCTCGGCATCCTTAAGGCATCAATTTTCTTTGAATACGCCTTCGAGTACAACCCGGAGGTATTTGAGCTCCCTTCGTATTGTGCCTTGACGGTGCTGGCGATCATCTCCTGCAGTTGCTGGATAGAAAGAGATCCCATGAGTGCCGCTGCTTGGTCTGGCTCCAGCTTCACATCGATATTCTCCACCGGAGGCTCCTCTTCTGGGTTAGGGTTATCGCCGTCATGTGGCTCCAGTCGGCTGACGAGTGCAGCGATTTGCAAGTCTTTTTCTTCCACAGTTCGGGTTAGCCTTGAGATTGCTTCATTCATTTGAGCCAGCTGCTCATCGATTGAAGTTGCTCCAATGGTCATGACTTGCATGGCTGAACTGCCGCTCGAATCTGCATCGGAGAGCATGGATTCGGAGTATTTCCTTGGACTTTCGCCCCTTGGTGCCTTTGGTGAGGCTAAGGTGATCAAAGGCTCGTGCCTTGGGTGCTCTTGTTCCCTTGGCACAGTTGATGCAGAGGTGAAAGAGGCGGCAGAAGTAGCTCTTGCCTTGCTTCGAGTCGTGATGCCTAAAGTGACACCACTTGCGACGAGGACGCTCTTGTTCTTTGCGCCAGTTGCGGGAACAGTTTGAGCCTTCCTTGATGCCATTAATTTTGGAAGTGTGCTCGAATTTCTTGAACGGAGAAAGAGATGAGAGGTAGAGATGATCCCACCGGGCGTGCCAATTTGTGAACACGGAAAATTCCTGAAACGAAAGAGACAAGAACAACGTGCACAAACAAATATTTGTATTTGATGATTTTGGGTTACAATCTCTCTCTATTTCGATCCTCTTATTCGATCTCCGTAAGGTGTTGATTTATGGATATTTGGTTGATCCAAGGGCCGTGGAGGTTTGATTTTGGATGAACTGTTGAAAGTTTCTTCAAGGGGCCGTGGGCTTGATCTTTGAAGGTGGATTTGAGCGGATCTTCAAGGAGCCGTTGGGGGCTTGATCTTGAGAGGAGTATTTCTTCAAGGGCCGTTGAGGCTTGATCTTGAATAACGGTGATGAGCGGATCTTCAAGGGCTTTTGGGCTTGATCTTGAAGAACAGTGATGAACATATCTTCAAGGGCTTTTGGGCTTGATCTTAAAGAACAGTGATGAACGGATCTTCAAGGGCTTTTGGGCTTGATCTTGAAGAACAGTGGCTGTGTGCATTCGTTGATGTTGTTGATCCAAAGGGCCGTTGGGGCTTGATCCTGGATGAACGGATGATGAACGATGGTGCTTTCTTCAAGGGCCGTCGGGGCTTGATCTTGAATTGGTGGAAGTTCTTCAAGAGCCTTTGGGGCTTGATCTTGAATTGGTGGATGGTTGATCCAAGGGCCGTCGGGGCTTAATCTTGGAAGAACGATGAACGAAGAACGAAGAACACTTTCTTCAAGGGCCGTCGGGGCTTGATCTTGAATTGGTGGATGATTGTTGATCCAAATGGCCGTTGGGGCTTGATCTTGGAAGAACGATGAATGAAGAACGAATAACACTTTCTTCAAGGGCCATCGGGGCTTGATCTTGAATTGGTGGATGATTGTTGATCCAAAGGGCCATTGGGGCTTGATCTTGGAAGAACGAATAACGAAGAACGCTTTCTTGATTCTTCGGGAACCTGGATGCTTGAGAGTTTCGGAGTTTCAGAGCTTCAGAGCTTCAGAGCTTCAAGAATTTTGCCTAATGATTTTGGTTCTTCCCTCAAATGAATGAAATGGGCTTGTATTTATAGAATTTTCCAAGGCCTAATTTTGAATATAATATTCCAGATGAAATAAGTCGTTTCTGCCAGGTGTTGACACGTGTCCTATTTGATAACTTTTCCAACTCATTTCAATTTTCGTTGAGTCACACGCTACGTGTAAAATTTATGTAATACATGAGCGTTGACACTTTGATTTATCGGTCAACATTTATTTACCGAAATTTCGATGTCTACAGTTAGTAGATGCAAAATATTGCTGTTCTTGTCCATGGATGAGGATATGAAACACCGCTTTTTGATTTGAGATCATTCTGTTTTCAAGAATAGATTGTTCCTGCTATATCTTATATCACATTTACTTTTTCCTTTTTCGATTTGTTGGGGTGAATTCAGGCCAAGCTGACAGCAGCAAAAGAAAAGTTCGGGAGAGAAATCCGTGTTTTTCGAAACAACCTCAGCATCTTCTTCTTCACAAAGTAAGCACATTTAGTCCACTGCTTCTTTGCCGACCTAGGTAGTTCAGAACCGTCCGCGCAGCATCTTGCAACTGTAAAACAACTCAATCAAAACTTCAGAGCATGCAGATTTTATTGACGCAATTACGGTCTCAGATGTAGTTGGCGACTGTTTGCTATTCTTTTGTCCCCTCCCCTAAAGTTTATGCATGTATTCATGTTAATCCCTAAAAGAAGACACATTATTATTAGAGTTCTACTTATGTCCCCAATTAGATTTGACTAATTGGGAAATTCTAAAAATCTCCGCCTAAACGTTAGACGGCTGGCCACCGTCCTGATTAATGTCTAGACATTTGAAAATTAAGAAAGGATGCCTAGACCTGTTGAGGTGTTTGCCTAGACCGCCTAGGTTGCGACTCACTTAGGCAAAAAATAGATAACTTTCATTTTGCATTTTTTTTTCAATAAATTGTAAGAGACTTTTGACAAAAAAAAAAAAATTGTAAGAGACTTATTGAATACTTAAATAAGCACACATTATATGATTGCTCCCCATGTTTTCATTATATTCCAATACTTCATAATATATGTGTCATTCTATTTTGTAGTTTATGATGAAATTATATATATTTTAAGTATAAACATACACTTATTTACATGAAATATAATGGATTTTGTTAAATCCGCCTAGGTGCTAGGCCCCAGCTCACTGCC